GTTAATACTTTCTTTCCATTTTTTTTTTAATTTATAGTAGATGTTACAATTAACATTCTCATTTTTTTCTGGAGTTTTTGATTCTTGCAATTTGGAAGATGATCCTGGATTGTTTCTCTACCTCAACCCTTGTTGCAGGTATAATGATTTAAATTACATGTTATTTAAAAAGCCATAAGGCGTAGGATTCCATAGGAAATATGAAATCCACCTTATGGATCTGTGAGGTTATTTTAAACCAGAAAATTTGAACTTTTTAATGCAGGGATTAGATAACAGCTTCGTATTCACTCAGAGACAACAGAAAAGAGAGAGTCAAGTTTAAAAATTTAAAAATTTATTAAAAACAAATTAAACTAGACTGACTTTAAACACTAAATGTATGGTGTAACTAATGTGGATGAGACAGTGGATGGATGACGTGTGATGTTGATCAGAACCAGCAAATCCGAAGAAGCGATTAGTTCTGATGGGAAATGAAGGTGATGTCGTCGCGTTAAGCTTTGGTTAGGAGGTCCATAAACACATGAGACACCATTTGCCAGTCTACATACCCTGAGCGGAAGTCCCCGTCTACATCAGGAGGTGTAAAGGTCCAGCTTGACCTTATGGAGCCGAAGCATGTAGAAAAAGCCACGGCAATTGACCACCCGTCCTGGGATACGTCCGGGTCATGACAATTTGTTGGCGTCTGGTGAGACCCAAGCCTGGGTCTTGATGGTTCAGCTTTTATTCTGAAAGGAACTGTTGCAGCAGTTGGAACAGCAACGAATTTTTCAGCTTTTCGTTGGTTCTTTTTGGTTGAAGACGAGTATAAATCAGGATTGGCCACTCCGTCACTTTCTCTGGAACGCCTTGAACTGGCGTTAGAGCTGACGTGGCAAAGTTTTATACTTCGGATGTTTTGGTTTATTGTCGAATGAAAAATTACCAAACACCATCAAAACCACGCCTCCGTCAGATCTGTCAGATTCTGGTTGGATCAGTGAAAGTAATGTGTTATGTCTTTTAACACTACGTGAAATGAGTCCTGTTGGAACACTTAAAGTCACAGTACCTTTATATTCTATAGGATTATAATAAAGTAATTAGTGATTTGATTTCACAGATCTGTCACATCTTATTTATTGACTAACACTTTGATGGATTAGCTTTATTAAAATCGAGTTCTTTGATTAATTAAAAGAAAAGAGTTCATTCTTCATTCTTTTGTTGAGCTGAAAATAAGCAGGTTAGAAGGAATGCATGAGACCATATCTCATGCAGACTAGTCTTGTGCAGAGGAGGGAAAAAAACAGTCATTGCATTCCGTTACACCAAGAACACACGATCCCCCCCTGACTTGTACCTGGAACATGGAACTACTAGCAGTTCCCTGTCAGCCGAGCGAAGGGCCCTTGATGGAGCATGCCTGTTCAAAAGGCTGGCCAAGTAAGGTGGAGCAGTTCCCTTAAGAGCCTTATACACCAGAATTAGCACCTTAAAGGGAGCCAGCGTAGAGATGCCAGCACACACGTGATGCTTTTAGGTGGTTTCCTACTGAACTTGTGGTTTGGCTGTTAAAAACCCTAACACTAACTCAATTCCCAGGAGTGTCACAACTATGTGAGTAAATTATAATCAATGATAAATGACCATCACTTGTATAGTCCCTTTAAGAGCCAGATGACTCCAAAACACTTTACACTACAGTGTATTATTCATCCATTCACACACACATTCACACACCGATGGTGATGAAGCTACGATGTGTCTTCCCAGAGCTGGAGCCTCCATTGGTGCTCAGTACCGATTGTTGAAGGTTTCACACTCACTTATGCATTTGAGCTTCCCCTTCCTGTTTGGATTATTTTTGAAGTGGATGATGTACAACAGGGCAAAAACGTAAGTGACAGGCCCTGGAAACCAATAAATAATACATAAATAGTAAAATATCTCAACAACTAAACCTCAGATATTTTTGTACCCTTCAGTTCTTTATTCTATTGTCATTCCATGGACAAATGTGTTATTTGAGATTTAAATGTTTAATAAAATATTTTGTATGTATTTATTTGGCTCTTTGGATTGAATATTGTATTTTGATTTTTATGTATTATAAAAGTTAAGTTTGTCGAGTTAGAATGCACAATGTAGTTTGATAAGTAATTGAGTAAGGCTTTCTTGATCTTGATGAGTTGAGTTAACTAAATGGATGGTGGGGTATTGGTTAAACTAATTATCTTAAGTTAATGTAACTTATGTTATTTGTAAATTCAACTCAAGTCTTTGATTTCATCCCATTAAGGCCTTAAGTACATTGAACATACTCAGCTGCATCAATTCAACTAATTCTTCATTACTTAAAAAATTTAAGGCAACGGGTTACCTTGTTTTTTTTAAGTAGACTGAACTTATCGGGGTTTACAGTGTGGGCGGTTTTTGGCCTGTGATGGGTGGTGCAAAAGAGCGCATAAAAGTCTGCAATGTCTCCATTATTGAACAAAGGTGGCCTGAGGTGTCTTGCTTTTGGAGACTATGACTCTGATTTTGCATCCTGCTTTGCTTTATCTGTCAGCACTGTGTGTGTGTGTGTGTGTGTGTGTGTGTGTGTGGCACAGGGAAAAACGGCTTCAGTAAGAGGCGCATTAACTCCACAGAATCCAGAAAGATAAAGAATCACAAATGCGGGAAACCCCAGCGGGCTGATTCTGTTAATCAGAGGCTCCCCCTAAAGGTAAACGTGGTTTTTGGCCAGCCCATCAGTCAGCAGTGAGAGCGTTGGACCAGTTCAGCTCCAGGCAGATCGCCTCGGGAAGAGGGCTGAAAAGAGGTCTGGTTGCGCATACCTACATGAGAACACTCCCAACCCGGTCCAGGCGGAGTGGAACTGATGCTAGTGTGTAAGCGCCAAAGGGCTTGTTTGAAGCCAAATGAGCGGTTCCCACCACTGCAATCTTGGCTGTTTAACTTGTGTCATCATTTCTGCTAAGTATAAAAATGGGCAAAGAGGTTGAGCTGAGAGTGGGGCTGTGAGGGTGGAGCAAATGATTGACACCCATCAAACTCTCCTTTCACATTTCTTATGTGACTGCATTGAAACTATGTTTCACATGAGCAAATTTACATTTGTGTTTATTCAAAAGCATACACGTTAATAAGAAGGCATCAGAGAACATCAGATTCATTCTTTTTCTGTCAACAACAAACCTAGAAGAAACGTTTAAGCTTAAAGGTTAAATATGGAACACAAACACCAAAGCGACATCTAGTGTGTGGAGGTTGTAGCTGCAACGATAGAACACGATTTTCACTCATCAGGATACCAGGTTTGTTGCAAACATAAATTCTTTTATTTGGGTCACCTGTTATAGGCGTCACCTAAATTTACTCTGGTTTGAAGTATTTTATGGTCGCTACTTTTCTGAGAAGGATAGCGATGTCTTCTTGGCTCAGAAGCAGCTGCATGACTTGTCGAGTCCGCCATTTTCCACAGTGCCAGCCTCGCTGTGTCCAGTGGACTGTTTGGTAGATGTAAACATATCCCAGTGTCGTGTCGTCAAAATAAATGTTAGATTATTTTTTTTATTAATTATCATCATCATCATTAGGGATGGGAATTGATAAAATTTTATCAATATCAATGGCATTGTCAATGCTGTCTATCGATCCAGTTCCTCATCAATTCCAGAGTAATTAAACAGGTGGCAAAAAACTAGCTACGCATGGCTCCTGCAATTTCACTGTTAGTTTCTTTATGATAAATAATCAGTTGTACCTGTATCGGTTGGAAATGTCTTTCCAAATGTTCTCCTTTGTTCTCCCAAGTCATCTTTTTGTTCGGTGCAGTGTTGCTGTAGCTGTTGCCGAGTTGGAAAAACCTCAGCACAGATTAGTCTTTAGTCGCTGGAGTCTGCTAGTGTGGAGGCGTGTATATATAAGGCTAATGACGCTAACATGATAGACAGTGTTAGTTAATTAGTTACTTGCAGTATTAACAAGAGAGGGCGTGTGAACATCACCGCTGCTGCTGCGTTGAAACTCACTAGTCCTAGCGGGTCAAAACACATCAATAAGTTATCGCGTATTTTGTGCCCAAAGCCTTTTGTGTATTCGTAATCCTCCCTCCCTTGATATCTACTTTGCAATTATTGCAAGTTACCCTGTTGTCATGATTTCTTGTAAAATGTAACCAAACTTTTCGATGTTTCCTGCTTCCGTAAGCTACACAACGTGCACGGCGACGTCATTCGCACCGACTGGAATTGATAAGGGGAATTGTTCTCATCAAGAACTGGTTTTCGATTCCCAACCCCTAATCATCATCATCATCTTTATTTATAGAGCCCATGAGGCATGCCACCCAAGTGCTGCACAGTCAAGTAAAAACTGAGTAAAATCATGTAAAAGATCAACCATACAAGTGGTTCTTCAATTAAAATATAGCTTTTTAAGGAAATACTGTACCTTCATTCTGCACACCTCTAATTGTCATGTGGAGGTATTATTTTCACAAACTATAACTTTTTATTATATTGTTACATATTCAGTCTTGAAATTCTTTGAACTTCCTTGTTTAGGGCTACAAGTCAAAACTTAAATTATGTTCAAGTCATAAAATATGGCCACTTGTCCTCTAAAGGCTTAATAAATGCATTTCTTATACTTTCCATGCAATTGTGTTTATACTCCACCCATCCGAAGCAGGCTGACCAGTAAATGAATCTGACCACCAGTTGAATCTGTCTACAGATGCAGTGTGAGCAGCTGGAAACCAAAGGGGCTGCCACAAACTGGCTGGCATTTAACATCTGTTGCAAGCAATCAAGATGTCTGCTGAAGACAGACCATCATGATTTATGGAGATTTTTGCAATAGGGCACAAACCTAAGAGCCAATCTGTAGTGATGATGTAGAGAAGACACTGTCAGCAGAGATGTTTCCGTAAAGGTTAATATTAAAATTTAAGCAGAACCTTTCCACCAACAATTACTTTTATTTCCCAAATCAAGAGCCAGAAGCACTTTTAAAGGCATTTATTGATGAAATACACACTTAGTTTGACAAAAAGCTTTTGTATTTTTGTAAGAAATTCCAGCCCAATTTTAGACCCCCAAACTCATCAAATTAAAAATTTAAGTGGAAATCAGTTCATTACATGTTCAATAAATAATAATAATAATAAAAAGAAGGCAAGTATAAAAGGACGCTGAATAAATGCCTGCCTTTTAACCCTGCAGAGGAAAAAAATTAACATAAAAAAGTAAAAACAATCCAGTTGTTTGTTTATTGGGTGCATTAGTGTATGTTCTGAGATGTCCTGGTCACTTTCAGGACCAGAAAGGCATTTAGTGACCTGAGGAACTGGCTGCAAAAAGGGAAAAGGAACAAAAATACTAACTGTGAAAATGCACAAAGAAACCTGGAGCCATCTGAGAAAAGGATATTGCACTCTGCAAATTCATGAAGCACACAGTCAAGATTAGCACAGTTTTTGTTTTTTTATATTAAAAAAAAAAAAACAGAAAGCTAAAACAAGACAAACACCTGGGTTGGCAGGTTAAAAAGGAGAATTCAGCCCAAAAGTCTTGCCGGATTCAAATGACGTAAAAACAGATTTTAGCATCAATAAGAACACAAGAGTTGACAGATTGATGTTATGGCTCAGTGAGGTTGACAACCCAATTACAATTTATCAATCTGACATCTGGATCATGATCAACAAAACATTATTCAGCAATCTAACAAACAAGTAACTGAGATCCTGAACTGGTGAAACAATTCATAACGCAACCAGTCACTATCATCAGAACTTCATGTCTCTTATTGGTGTGAGAAGATTTGAGCAATTCAGAACAGGCAGCTGCAAGCCAGGAGGCCCCTCGGCCAAAACAAATCAGTATTTTCTGTTTAAGGAGCCGTTTAAAGTGTTTCTGTTTCTAAAGGGTGATTTCTGAGTTTGGGATCTGCACAGAGGAGCAAAAGCACCTTAACTAGTCAGGGTGACACAAGAGACCTTTGAACTGATGTTGCAGCAGAATCTAAAACCTCCTGTGAGCCTCTTAGCTCGCAGCAGCACTGATGGTCCTAATAGAAAAGGAGAACATTGATCCGTTCGGAGTGCATCTGAGGTGAAGATGCAGATCTCCTAAGAGCTTTAAGACAAAGTCCCAGAAACTGAAAGTAAATCAGCCGTGCGGGACTTTAAACAGGCTTGCAGAAGCTATTTTCTGTTAAAGATTGAAGTAAGTCTTAATCTGACTGAGAGGTGCAAAAATTTCACCAAAGGAGCCGTAATAAGTGTGATTTCTATTTGAGCCATGAAATTGGTGCTAGCACACCCAATTTGTCACCACTTTTTCTTGTATTTTTCACAGCATCAGCTCTGTCAGACTCTAACTTGTTCAAAAATCCCTCGGTTCTCCCAACCTGAGCAAGTCAGTGCAAGTGGGCGAAGCTGACAAATCAATAAAAACGGGAGGGCGGAGGAGAAACGGCACCTTTATCTGCACAGCGAGGCGGCTCCGACAGGACAGACACCCAGAGACAGAATGGGCGGAGCAAAAAGGTGTTAAAATAAGGTGATGGAGGCAGATTTTCCCACAATGCCTTTCTGTCTCCCACTGACTCTTCCCTAAAGAGCTCTGGCATGAGGAATGATTAGCACCATAGAAAGCATCAGACAGGAATTCTGACCATGTTTTCATCCCATTAGTCGAGCAGATCAGAAGGTTTAATACCTGAAAAGCAAAAAGGGGCTTAGTGGAAATGTAATTCTTTTAAACCCCACACACTTTAACAGATTATTTTCAATTATTGAGTCTCACATGATATCCAACTCCAGCAGCTTTTCTAGTCAAAATTTTCCTAAATTTGTCTGATTTTCTCCAAATAAAGAACAATTCAAGGCAGTTCTGAAGTTCTGGGGAACATCTGATCATCTTTAAACACTGCCACCATCAAAACAACAATCTTCTTTCACAGATTTTTTTTTTATCAGACCATGTGAAGATTTAGAAACAATACAGTTGTGTGTGCAACATGGAAATGAAACGCCAGACCTCTTGATCAGCACCAAACTGTTCATTCAGTGTAGCGGACCTTTGTGGGAGTTTGTGGTGGTAACAAAAGCAGCACCATGTTGGGTTTTCCTGTTCCATCAGCTGAGAGAAAAGCTGATGTACAGTAAACAGAATAAATCAAGATCAGGCTCAATGTGACGTGATAATTTAACAAGGAATTGGATGAAAATTTGAGCAGAGATGACACGCTTCATTCCAGACGCTTCCGTTTCTGATGAAAACACAAAATGTCTGTAAAGCTGTGATTCTTAAAGCACCAAATACCTAAAAACAATCTCAGTGTTTCATTTTAAAGGATTTTCACAAACACTCCTCCCTGGTCTGGGACGACGTTTGTTGGATTTTAAATATTCATTTTATAGTCAATTTGCTTTTTGTCTTCTAAATCGTCTAAAATTGTTGGGATGATTGTTGTTTCATCTAACAGGATTTACCCCCAACGAGGAACCTAGCAAGGACATTTTTGCCTCAATCTTCAATTTTAAGACTGTACTAAATTTATTGTACTAAAAAAAAAATAAAAAAAAAAGCCCATAAATGCTGGCTGAGTATTAAGACCATATTGGAGCATGCAAAAGGAGTTGTGGTTGTGCTGGTTTTGTGACGCTCTGATGTGGGCGTCACAGCCAGTGATGGAGGGCTTTTTCCACCACTTTGGAATAGAAAATTAAAAATAAATTCACCAAAAACTTTCAAGATGTCAGGATGAACAAAAACTCTGCACATGGTTAGCTGATTTGGTGCAGAAATCATCAAATTACAGATGAAACGAGTAAGTGAGGTAATACAAATCTGACGTGACGCTCCTGCTGTTAAACAGGTCAGGACACAAATAGTTGCGTCAGTTTGCTGTCACGAGTAAAGACTGCTCATTTCTGATCAAACCTACATTTAGAAGCACCAATCGACCCAAATCTGGCCGTTTTGTTCTGTAGTTCAGTATTTTAATGCTCAAAAAGTCTCGGCTTCTATGCAAAAACCTGAATGTGCGTTGTTTTCAAAAAGACTTGCACAGTTGTATTTTGTCAAGCTGATAAACACTGCTCATTCTGCAAAATAATAAATCAAAATAGGATAGTTTGTGAAAAGAACATTTTCCAGGAATGCTCTGAAACACTGTGCAGCTTTGCACCTCTGGCTGGCAGTGAGGCGTGACTGAAAAACTCCTTAAAGACGTAACAAAGCATAAGAGACCTGTACTGATGAACAAAATGTACGTTTAGTTTCTGTATGAGACCAATCCCAGTCAGACCGATGCGTACAAAACCCTCGTTTTTGCAGCTTTGGTAAATTTGTGGTAAAATTCTCCCAAATTGTTTTACGGTACGTAAAATTCCTGCTGCTGCTAAAAAATCTGCAAGAACACAAGCATGGATATTAAGGGCTGTGTGGTAACGTCTGAGACCAAATGTCTTTAAGCAGGCAAACGTCTGAAATCTGTAGCTAAAATAAAAATCTCCATGAGATGAAGAGGATGAGGTCGTCCTTTTCTTTCTGCCTTTAAGCTCCCAACACGCCCACAAACACATAAAGAGGATTTGATAGAGCTGTTTCGTGTCTTCCTCAGTCAACATAAAGATGCTTTTATATAATTTGATACTGATACGAGTCTGCCTTTAAAAATCCTCGTTTATAATCTGCAGACGCTCGTTGTCCACCTCATAGATAGCACTTCAGGGATCCACTCTGGTTTTTTTAACAGTCTAATGTCTCTCTTCAGTCTCTCTGTAATGACATTTTATGTACAATATTGGTATATAGAACATAAATTACTACACAAACAAAGCCTATTCACAAATTGACAATCATCTGGAATTCAACAGCAAATTAAACAAAATGCAATTAAAAAAAAAGGAATCTGGACAATTGATGCCTGTTTTAGAACTTTTCCATAAATTTTCTGTGCTCCCAGGACATGTCGAGTGTGTTGTGAAAAGACACATTTGATGTATATTTATATATATAAAAAAAAAGACATTCCTCTTCTCCTGTATTCATCAGAGGAGGATGAAGCTCAAAAACGTGTTCAGATGACTCCCGACATCTTGTTTGTGTGTAAACAGAGCACCAGTAGTGTCTTAATTCATGTCTCTTCTGTACAAAAGTATAAATATATGTTTTATCTCCATTTTTTTATTTAATTTTCAGTTGTTTTTTTTTTTTTTGTTCACATATGTAGGATGTAGCGGACAAAAAAATGGTTGTTTTAGTTGCTAAAACCACGGTGGAGTAGTAGTTTCTGTGCTGGAGGGCAGCCAGGTTGGGTCCCTTCTAGATGAAGATTTGCTGGCTTTTGTTGACTGTCAGGTGTTTGCTTGGTGTTCGTTGATCGTCTTTGCATAAATTAAAAAAAGTATTCAGTTTCGGCACAGTTCACGGCCTGTGAGCCGGCAAAAAGATCCAAATAAAACAACCATTGTGTCCGCTGTAGCTACAGCAGGTCCATCTTGGGTCTGTAATGAAGCAGGAGAGGGGATTTCTAAAAAATAAAAAATAAAAATATTACAGATGTCAGGGTGAGACATACACAAGTTTGGAAGCCAACAGGTTCACCCCGTAGCTCCCACACCAACACAAAGGCAATGTAAAAATCTATCTGCATTTTAAAGTTATTTAGAGTTATGAGGATGAAAATATAATGCTAATTATAAATATTACACAAAATAATACTATTGAGGTAAGACTTTTGGAACGCAAAAATGGTTAACTTCTTAGACAAATGCAAATTAGCTTCAATACATTTCAAGCACCTTTTCTAAGACTCAAATGCTTATTTTAGTAAATCTCCAAAACCTGTTTTCACCATGTAATATCCATAAATATATAAATGATCACAAACAAAATAAAAAAACAGAAGGGGTGTACACGATTGCTCTTCAACGTGTAGTTTTTTATAAACTCAAACCTTCAATTACAGAAAATATTAAAATAAGTTGCATTTAGAAGCTCTCCTTCTCAGGTTTGTAGGAAACAAACACGTTGGTTTGAATTTGGGTCCCGGAGACCGATTCTGCTTACAAATACAAAACATTCATGAGTTTAAAGCAGAAATCCGGAGTTTTTTCATCTAGAGGTAGAAAACCTGTATCACACCGTAAGCATCTTTCCCTGCTTCCTTGATGATGGCAGGAAGCCACTCCTAACGTTCATAAACGTGCACCTCTAGCCGACCAACCCAGCTAAAACACGTTCATTACATCACAATACTGGGTCAGGCTGTCACTTTTATAGATTTCTAGATATTCTTACATAATTCCTGAAAGGGGGAAAACTCCGGATTGCTGCTTTAATAATGAGATTCGGACGAGAGAAAGGGCTTCAATGAATTCAGGCAGTTACTGTTATTACAAAATTACAGATTTGAGTTGGTTTGTTTAACACCTGATTAAAAACACTTTTCCCTGACTTTAACACCCGATGTGTGGGTGGCAGCATTTAAAATCACTGGTGTTGAGGATGCTGTTGCTTTTCACCGTGAAGCAGATGAAACCTCAACCATTACCTTAAATCTCCATCTCGTCACAACAACAAATTTCAAAGTGTGGTCTTTTCCTAAGATCTCCTCGTTGCATAAAATGTCCAGCTGTGAGAAGAAACACAGAAGCAAAATTACTGAAGAGAATCTGGGCTGAATGAGGAAATGTGCTCAGCTCTCCTGCAGAGAGGCTGTAAGCATGAGCAGAGTGTGAGAAGTGTGATCTGCTGCTCGTTTCTCAGGCAGCAGAATCTAAAAACTTCGTTACTATTTCTAGGAGAAGGCAGATTCTGACACCGGAGACCTCTGGCTTCTGTGCAGAACACAAAAGTTCAACAGTGAACACACGGCTGACTCCTTAGGTCTGCCTCCCCCCCCGAGGAACAAGATTGATATTCTGCTGAGCTGCATCTGCAAGTCAATACTGCAGGAGAGAGAGGGAGAGGAGGGAGGAAGGTCAGGGAGATGCTCTGTCACAGCGCCTCCTCCTGGGGAACGTTCAAGAGTCCAGACCTAAACTAACGATTCATGTTTCTGATTGTAATAAAATTGTTAATGTTGAAGGTCAAGACTGACTCAGTGTCACAAGGTTAAGAGAAGAAGCAACACAGATAATGAACTGAGTTCAACTGCTTTGTTGCTTGGTAATTTCTTTTCTTTCACCACGTTTACTCGCTACTTGCATTAAAGACATTAAAGGTAAGGCAGAGGATGTTTTTAAACTTCAGGAAAGAACCACCCTCTCTACAATTTGAAAATATGTGCAGGAGAGAACGCCCAGTTACTCTTGTGCACGCTCTGTTTACAAGCAGCTGCCGGCCTTGCAGCACACACTCACTGAGAATAAGATTTGTGATTTTTCAACAATGCCAGATTTTTTTTTATGTGCAGTTCCTTTTTTTATTATAATTTGCTTCTTCCTCCCGTATTGTACTACTGCTGCCCATCTACCTCTGCACCTTATTCCTTTTCTGATTTAGTTTATGCTTCCGTAGCGTGTGATTGTCCCCTCTGCCAATAACCACTACGTTTATTCTCCCATCAGAATCAAACAACTCTTCCCTGAAAAGGTACAATATAGTTGGAGATAACTTCTTCTAGCAGTAATCTGAAATTAATTTCTCCAAATAGAATGCCAAATTTTAGCTTGTCGAGCATAAAACCGGCAACAGCGGCGTCTGTGGGGAGCCCAACCTTCACTTTCAGTGCACACCATCGTTGAATAGAGTCTCCTAAAAAAACTCTGGCCTTATGTCTCACTTCAGAGGCCTTTCTCGTCTCATCATAGACTTTGAAGACACTTTCCCTTGTGACTCTCCGCCATTTTCAAAAGAACCGGGTGAGAATGGCGAGGTATGGTTAATGAACGAAGGCGCATCGCTCTACAGATAAACAGAATGCGCATGAGCAGGAAGTGAAAACGAACCCAGCAACGAGCACGTACGACGACAGCTTTGCATGAAAGCTTCACCACAACGATTGACAGTTATGTGGACCAATGGTTCAGATGATCCACCCAAAAGGAAAAGACCCTCCGCTTTAAATTAAACCTCAGGAAAAATGAACTCTTTTCTCAAGCAATTATATAATCTGCTACAAAAAAATCTAATGAAATAGGGCTGTAAATAAAATATGTTCAAAGACTACAGCAAACACTTATTATATTCGTTTGCATGTTCTAATTTAGTCACGCCTCCGATATAATATATTACTGAAGTACAACGTATGTGTGATTCAGAGCGTGAGGCACGGCGGATTAGGAAGGAGCTTTCATAGCCCCGTTCACTTACATTCATTTTTTCCTTGTTGTGGGGAGCCATGAGCCGACGGGAAGGGGAGGAGACTTGGGCTTCCTATGGTAGCAAATTGCTTCAAACTACAATTTGCAAAGCTTAAGGGATGCTTATGCATCTGGTGAGAAACCTGGTAATGGCTGTATAGGGTTAGCCACAGAAAGAGAAATCTAGAAACAAACCACCTTGACCACCAAAAGCAAGTTTTTTTGTAATATACAACAATGATTTTAAACTAATTAGATTAGTTTAAATGATTTGGCTTTGGCGGTTTTTGAGATAGGCACCTCTTCTGGCAGCTCACACCTGAAGGTGTTTCTGAGAGTCAGGTGAGATTTTAGAGAGTGAGATTAACAGGTGAGGCATGAGCAGTCTAAAGAGATGCCATACCTTATTCAACATTTATGGTCAGCATTTTATTCAAATATAAATGATATGTTGGTGAAGAGTTTGTTCATTTCTGCTCAAACATCTACACACCTCTCTTTTCTGTGTTTGGAAATTTCTGTTTGCCTCTGAAGCAGCAATTGAACTTCCTGTAGAGACTTTTAGATGGGTGTTCTGACCACGATGGTCAGGATCATGAATGCCAACTAAATAACGGGTTACTCTCTGACAGAGCTCTGTGTGGTAAAACTCTGAGCCCTGCTCAGCACTGAAAGCTGAATCGTCTCCAACATCTTTTCAGTGTCAGTAAATAGAACAACAATAGCTGGCGAGAAGCGAGCACCCGCCTCGCCGAGCTGATCTACGGAGGCCGACGATATGATGGAGCCGGCCCACTCATCTGTTCAGCAGCCAAAAAGAAAAAGAAACCAACGGAAATGGAGAGAAAACAGACAACAGGAAGGAGATTGTGATGGTTATTCACAGTCATCTAAAAATGCATCTGTCAAATTATCCCCCCCACTGCTCCGTACGGGGCGGCGAAGACGATAAATAGAAAAATGAGATATTATAAAGGGTTGGTTTTATGTTTAATATAACTGAAGACAAAAGGAACGAATGAGTCATGGCTGAAAGGGAAAATCCTCTGAGATTTTTGGTTTTGGTTTGAATAAGTAAACTTTCAGGCCAACACTGACCAACCTAAAACAAACACAGATTTTAAAAGATTTGTTTAAAGCTGCTAATAATTCATAATAGAAAACATAGTTTTTGTAACACAAGAATAAAAATGAGGAAAAGGTAAGAACAATCACTTGAAGACGGTTTTGTAACTTCTCCCAGATTATCTTTTCTAGTAAACATCAAGCGAGGTTTGTGATTTTGCAGGCTGCGTTTTCTCTCTCTGTACCTCGTTGAACGATGTCAGGTTAAGCTTTTTGGCGATGAACTTCTTAAGGTGGAGGACGGTGGCCTGTGCTGAACAGCGGATCCATTTGCGCTTCAGACCACGGAGCTTACTGCTGTTGCACTCCAGACAAATGCTGACCTGTTGGAACACACAGTGAAACCAAAATGAACTAAATCCAGCAAACGCTCCAGGAATATTCTCTCTGGTTGGATATCGACACCAGCTACATGTGCCGAAAATGGTTTCAGGTGCCTGAATACTTTATAGACATTGGATTTGGTTCATTTATGCCTGCATTTTGAACATCTTAGATCTTCTGAGCTCGTTCGGTGGTTCCCTGATCAAATTTTGTTGAGGCATGTTGTTGCTTTAGTGCTCACAAAACAACCTTTGCACAGTTATTAAAAAGGTCTTCCTCTATCGAAACTTTAAAGAGGCCTAACACTTGTTATTTCTTTAAATCTGTAGTCGTTTCTAGTACAGGTGAATGCAATGTGAGCCGTGTCCTCTAGAGGAAAAAGCTCTGGCGCTCCTGTTTCAGAAAGCTGAAGTTTGTCTGGGACAATGTGGAGTGTTCTCATTAGGGTTGGACAATAAATAATTAACAATAACTATATATATATATATATATATATATATATATATATATATATATATATATATATATATATATATATATATATATATATATATATTAATATATATGTGGTGTGATAGAAGAACAATGGGTCAATAAAAAAAAATCTCCTTTCTTTTTCAATATAGCCCATCAGGTAATACAGGAGTCATTACTTACTCCTAACCAATCAAAAACACAAACCCAGGAACGCACTGTCACCAAGCCCCCCCACCCCCCAATGTTATGTATCCTTGCATGTAATGCATTCAGTATTTCAGGTCATCTATTTATTAAAGTATTTCTGAGTAGAGACACTTAAAATCTGAATGTAAGAAATGGGATTCAGCCTTCATAACCAACTATTCCAGTTTCACCGTACGGTGATCTTGGTTCTCCCGTCTGCTCTCACAGCACACCCGACTGAACGAGCGCCGTTTATCTACAGCTTATTGGCTCCTTTCATGTGACTACATTTCACCACCACTGGCCCGTGTGCTTGTTTTCCTCCCTGAGGTGACACGATAGATGGTTTTGGCAGTCGATGGTTGCAGGAGTCAGGATGCATTATCGGTACTGGGCCTTGGCCTGTTGCATATCAAGAGCCAGAACAGGGGAGAAGCTGTGTTTCTCTTGGATGTGTGGGTGCCCTTCTGTCTCTTTTCATTCATCTCTTTAGAGACAAGAGGAGACAACATTACCCTGGTTTATGTTTAAACTTCCTCTCTGTGCTCAAACAAACATTGGCAGTGCTTCAGTGCACAGCCTGCCCTCCAATAAGCAAAAACCAATATATCTGCTTTCCAGTGGCACTTGCAGTGAGTGGGGGAGCTCGTAACGTAAAATAAAAGCCTCGCCAGCAATCTGGACTCCACGGCGGCTCGATGACGACCTGCATGGCAGTTCCATTACATTACGGGCGTGTCTGTGGAGTCTCGGAGGGCTGCCAGGACTAAATCACAGCTAAATGCACAGATTCACTGATGCAACAGTGAGGCATACAAAGCAAATATTATGTGTGCCCTTTGTGCCACGCAGGGAAAGCTTCAAGCTCATTACAGAGTCTCGCATCCATGCAGAGGTCTGATGCAACATTTTCAATCAATCATCAATCAATCAAAGCTTTATTTATAAAGCGCCTTCCGCGCGACCCTGTTGGGAAGCCCAAGGCGCAGAACAATGTTGATGCACGAATATTATAACCGAAAGTTTGAGTCTTCTTTTGTCAGAAGTAGACAACCCCCTTCTCCCGACCCACATAATTATTAAATTTGGCCACATCTGCAGACATGAACTCCTACTGTGTTTTTATTTATTTTTTTACATGTTTTCTGTTATGATTCTGTTTAGTGAACTTTCTCTGGCATCAGATCACAACCCAGCGTTACAGGCTGGAAGGTCGTCCAGGAGGCAGCAGGGAAGAGTTCAGGAAGTAGGCCATGTGTGGCGTTACGCCTGTCGTTTCTTACATCTGTGTGAAGGAAAGAAGGGGGGGTGGAATAATGATCCAGGACTGTAACTTTGCTCTTTAGCTTTGTGTAACCTCCTCTTGTTTCTCTGTTTTCATTCCTTCCTTTACAGACTTCTGTTTTTTGACTTTTCTGATGTTTCTGTTATTTGTAATGGTCACAATGCCTGCTTCCCTTTTTTTTAATCACTTATCTTAAACCGTTAAGGATCTTCAAAGTGTCTTACTTCTGATTTTTGGCTGATAAACAGCTACTAACAAGATGTGCCATGTTAGCATCACACTGCGCGTTTCATTCTTTCACAGTAAGGTCTGAATCAGAAATGTTGACCAAAAACTGTTAAGTTCCCTAGAATGTGATGTTCTGTAAAGTCAGTTGATAAAGATGTTACTAGTTTGAGGTTTTTACAGCCTGAACTACCTGACTTTTTTATGACACCACTCCAGTTTTAATGTTTTATAAGATAAATAGAAATTATTTCTACACCGTCTGCTCTAAGTAGCTTTTACTGGTGGTTCCTGCCCCCGTCTTTCACCTAAAAGCTCTCCTGAATACTCCATCTCTCCACCAACACCAGCCATTTCCTTTCTGTTTGTTCAGACGAGCTTCACCTCCTCCATCACCTCACACGAAGCTTCCCTCCAACATCAAACCCTTCAAATCACCTCACCTCCCTCTCACACTCTGCAGCCATTTCCTTCCCTCAGTCCTGCACTCTCCCTCTTTTATATGTCATCCTGTATTCCGCCCCTCCACCTCTCGCCATGACATTTCACATCACTGCATTCAGACTGCGGATTAGTTATTCTGTGTGCATTCTGCATCGCTGCTGAATTTATAAAAGGGCAAGATCTTCCCCCGCATCGGGGCAGGCCCCCCTTCCCACACGTCAGAGGAGAGACTGTTCACGACTGGCTCGTTTCTATAAATGTTCTTCATGAAAAGAAATGTTTGTGTAGGACAGACACCACCACGTGACTGCTGATGTTTGCCCAACAGCAACAATTTACCACTCGCTAAATCAAAAATCACCCCAAAGAGCTTAAGATGATGCCAGAAAACAAATAAGATATAAACATTAATCTGGTTTCTAGTCTTAATGTGCTGATGGGTGGCAGCTGTGTACACAGTTCAAACACAAACACAAAAGAATGGTCTATACAAACAGAAACTGACACTGCTTTCAAATACATAACTATTTCATCCAATTTCATTCAAATCTTCAAAAAAAAAAAAAAAAGACCAAACAATTTTCAGAAATGAACCAAATAATGCAAAACTCAATTACAGGTCTAACATTCTTTGGAGGAATGTCACGTACTAGAGCCATTAACGAAGACCATCTTGTGTTGAGAAACCGATGAGTCGTAGCTGTTTTGGTCAAATCTAAAAAAACAATATTGTTCGTGCAAAGAGTACTTTCTGCTCGAGTAACGGCTGCTGGAATGAAAGAATTTGAAGAAAGCACTTGGACATGTCTTTACAACCACAACAAGTAGAAGCGCTAGATGCCTTTCTTCTAAAGAAAGAGGTTTGCGCCGTTGCCAGACACCATTTTTGACTACAGCTAAAAACTACAACGTTGTACGGTACAGTCGGCATTTCCACCTTTTTTCTGATTGCTTTTTTTGTCTGGCCACTTATGTGCCTCTCTGCCTGTGAGTAACCAGACTAGTTCTGTGTGTAGAATCAAACAGAGGACAAGTCTGGCAGACAAGGCTAGTCTTCTACCCCAGTTTCCTGCATTAGCCGCAGATAGAAGAAAGATGGGGACACATTTGATTCAGAAAGCACCTGTCCCTTCTATGTCACAAGGAAATATTTGCATTAATGGACTCACCCATCTTGGATCACGACCTGGGAAGCATGTTGTTGATTTAGCATCCAGGAGAGAGCAGAGTGCATCTTGGCTAGTAGAAGCTAACCATTGGCATTAGCAACTCTACAACATGGTGGAACACATTCTACCATTACCCAAGAACGAACAGTGAATGGAGGCAGAAGAAGATGGCAAATGGTAAATGGCCTGCATTTGTATAGCACCTTCTTAGAGTTCTACAACCCCCCAAGGCGCTTCACAACACAATCAGTCATTCGCCCATTCACTCACTGTTGGGGATGACCTACGATGAAGCCACAGCTGCCCTGGGGCGCATTCACAGAGGCAAGGCTTGCCAAACACTGGCACCACCAACAGTCCCTCTGACCACCACCAGCAGGCAACACAGGTGAAGTGTCTTGCCCAAGGAAACAACAGCAAGATTCTCTGGTCAGACCTGCAACCTTCCGATTACTGGACAACTCGCTCTACCTCCGGAGCTACTGCTGTCTTGAAGAGTTGCACTGCTGTTAGCTAATGACAGGCGATTTTCGAATATCATGAATTTTAATGAAGAAAAATCAGGAAGCCAGGACAACGTGAGATGCATCTAACCAGTTATTACATGTCAAAATATAAATAGTGTCCAAATGACTGCCTTGGGAGATCTAGTGTTGAACTGAATATTCCAGACATCGTTCTGTTCAACTGTTTTTATAGAAAGTATTTGTTCAGTAGAAAACATACTTTAATATAAAAAACTCAGAGGTTTGTGGATTAATTAGAAAACTCATTTTTTAGAATTAAAAGCATTCTTTGTCAGAGACATGACCAGTGAAAGATGACCAACCTGCTCGTCACTACGGTGATAGTCATTGTCCTCCTCCGGTTTCTCCTCTCCTGCTTCTTTATTTGCCGTTTCTTCTGACTTCGCCTCACCTGTTTGGGGGAAAATAGAAAAATAACTGAACAATGATTACATCAAAAATAATTTAGTATAAGCAGCCTGAACTTTGTGCGCACAACACAGTAGGCCTCGGTTTTTGCTGCAGTCAGGCTTTTCTCATTTCTTCATGATGGGCTTGTTGTGATTTGACTTACAGGAGAAACAAGCATGAGTTTCCTATTTAAACTGGCTGTGCCTGCTGGAGCAGAAAATCACCACCAGCAGAAAAGCATTTATAAGGTTTTTCATGTCTGATGGTGTTGAGGCATCTTTACCTGCTGTCAAGGCATCATTCATGAATCTGATTAGAAAACACAACGCTTCAGAAAAACGCCGGCAGGTAGAATGGTGTCTGCTTATTCTTACTGAGACAACATGCTGGTTTTACAGCCTGTAATATGTATTTGTTGGTAAACATGCATGATAGGAGATATGTGATTTTATTAACTTAAAATGTTTTAGTTTTTCTTTTTTTATGAGAGTGGGACCCACCGTGTATTGGTATCAGAAAAGAAAAGCCATACAATATCGGTATATCAGTAAAACAAATAAAGCATCCCTAGTCTCTCCTAAAATAAAACAATATACACACACAATAAAAAGTATTTGTTTATTAAAAGGGGTGCTAGAATAACGTTCATTTTTTACAAAATGTCCTTTGGGTCTCTGTGGTGCATCCAGAGCTATTAATCGCCAGTCACTTTTTCCTGGTTTTGATATTTTACAGCCTTTTATCAAAATGTATTATTTGGACTATAACACAAGCTTGTATATATATATATATATATATATATATATATATATATATATATATATATATATATATATATATACACATCCATTTTCTGAACCCGCTTGTCCATGTAGGGTCGCGGGGGGCTGGTGCCTATCTCCAGCGATCAATGTGCAATTAGGCAGGGTACACCCTGGACAGAGAGCCAGTCCATCGCAGGGCAACACAGAGACACACAGGACAAACAATCACACACACACACACTCACACCTAAGGACACTCACACTGCCACATACATACATACATATATATATATATATACATATATATATATATATATATATATATATATATACACACACACACACACACACACTCACACCTAAGGACACTCACACTGCCACATACATACATACATACATATATATATATATATATATATATATATATATATATATATATATATATATATATATATATATATATATATATATATATATACACACACACACACACACACAAACACAAAAATGTATTTATTTTTGCAAAAAAGCCTGAGCTATCACATGTTTATGTATACACCACCTTTGCCATGTAGCTCAACACTGAGCTCGGGTGCTTCCTGTTTCCACTGATCTGTCTCATTGTTGTTCAGATGTAACAAGTCCCTGCTCAACCATGATTTGATAAAAATACTGTAGAAGCAAGTCTTTAATTTAAAAGTCTGTGCCTGTAAATCCTGACATGGCTGACAGCTAGCATGTTTTTTCTTCTCAGCTGCTTCCAGATTACATTCAACCAGAGTATTTGCATTTTCAGTATCATACGTGCTCGTGGGCACGCTGTAAGACTTCTCATTAACTGATAAAACTGCTATGAAGTAGAAGCAACAGCAGGTCGGTTTGGGACAGATGTGGTTAAAGTCAACACTCCTTTATGAATGTTTTTGTTGGCTGTGATATTGTGGCCGTATTGAATTCTTAGACAAAAAACTTGATTATCAAGTCAAAATTGTGTTGTGGTGACAGAATTGCAGCACAGATGGGTATTGCTTTTCTGTAACCTTTAGAAACAAAGAGATTCATTCTGTTCTTTCTGGATTTGGTGGAGTTAATAACTGTGTGTGTGTGTGTGTGTGTGTGTGTGTGTGTGTGTGTGTGTGTGTGTGTGTGTGTGTGTGTGTAGGTGTGTGTGTGTGTGTAGGTGTGTGTGTGTGTGTAGGTGTGTGTGTGTGTGTAGGTGTGTGTGTGTGTGTAGGTGTGTGTGTGTGTGTGTGTGTGTGTGTGTGGTGTGTGTGTGTGTGTGTGTGTGTGTGTGTGTGTGTGTGTGTGTGTGTGTGTGTACAGTTTACTTGTGCTCAGACTGTAGATGCGAGTGCATTGAGTCCTCTGTGACCATTTTCCGTCTGGGCCAGCTGTCACCAATCCCTGGGTGAATTGCTAGGCTTGTTCGTGTGTCTCCATGACGATTGTCTCCAGAGTTAGCCTCACTTATTACTTATCAAGAGGTGCTTGCTCTTATTACACCACACCTCCAAACAACCCTCTCATCTTGCAGACAAAGTGTATTTTATCTCCCCTGGTGCACTTAGAAAATGATCCTCTGTCTCGTTTATGATTTATGGGATCTCTCAGAAACATTAAAATCCCAAAGGCGTGAACAATGACATTTTCAGGCTACTGTAAGATGAGAATGAGATGGAGGAAACACTGTGTGTGTGTGTGTGTGTGTGTGTGTGTGTGTGTGTGTGTGTGTGTGTGTGTGTGTGTGTGTGTGTGTGTGTGTGTTGGCTTTAAGCGCTTAGATAAGATGATTATATGGAGGAATAAATCTGTGGGACGGGGAAGCGATTTAAGTTTATACGAGTCAAAGATGCTAGAAAACTTCATGTTTGAGTTTAAAACCAAACACACTCACAGTAGCTCGATGTCTGAACGAAAGCAGCAGCTACACGCTTCTAAGGACCATGCACATTTTTTCTTGGATTTTTTTTCCGTTTAGTGGTATGTCGACAGCCAATATTACTTGGCCACAATCATCCTGCACTACTGCTGCAATCCACTTCATCAGATAAACCTTGATTTATGTTTTAATCGTTAGGGGGGTGCTTTGTAGGACCAACGTTCAGGCTGTCCAAGTCAAACGGTGCTGGGGAAACCCCGTAAGTATCAACAGCAGTAACTAAAGTTGTACTTCCTGATACTTCAGGATACAATTCCAGCAGGAATGGCTTAAAAATTCAGCCAAAATATGTATTTTAAGTGACACTGAGTACAACTGCATCTATTACTTTGAAACATTTGAGCTATTTATAGATCAACACTCTAGCCGTTAGCTCATCAGTCCTGATAATTATGAACTCCATTTCTCCAGAGGTCATTTAGAGAGCCATCTACAGTGGTAAAATAGTATTTGGTCACTATTTTTACACAGATGCATGCTGAATGATGGCTGAAAACGTCATTGTGTTTTATTGTCTGAAGAAAGCTGGTGTTTAGAAAAACCAGACAATCATTCACTCACACCTAGAGACAAAGAGTCGCCAGATAACCTAACACACATGTTTTTGGCCTGCGGGATGAACCCGGAGTACCCAGAGAAAACCCACAGTAGCTTGACGTCATTTTGCATTTACACTTACTTAAAGCTGCAATCCAACCGTCAACAATCAAAGCAGCAATCCAGAACTGATGCCAATTAGCATCAACTTGCAAAAAGTTGCTTATCACCAGAAATGTGTAACTTTCAAGTGACATAACATTAAATGTTTGTTGCTATGATACAGGCTTCTATCAGGAAATGTACACCGATACAGATACTGGTGTGCTGCGCTTTAGCTCAGATTTAAAAAAATGTTCTTTATGACTAGATGAGAGAACATAAATATTTTCTGTAACATCACCAAGGCGGCTCAATTAAAGAAACAAAACTACAGCTATCACAGACACAGAATCAGTCATGATGCCTCAAACATCTAGGGGAAATAAAATCCTCATACAAAAAAAAAAATGACTGACTTTTTAGTGAGTAAAAGAACAGTTCCACTTCTGCTAAATCGCATGCATCATCCTGGATTTTCTCCTGTTTTCAGGCATCATAACTGCTCATGGATTCCTATCTCTGATGTCATTTTTATGCATCACCCTGCCAAACTCAGACGATGGTGAAATTAAGTCCAAAGTCTTGCTTCTATAACATTTGGAAAAATGGTTTGTGTATTTCTGCTTCAGCTAAAAAGTCACTTCGAGCAATGGAGCCGGAGAGCAATTCCACTTCTATTTGAGCCTTAATTACCAAAATCAGAGAGGGGGATTAAGTGAGCGATTAGGCTTGTCAGCGTGACAGCCCCTCTGGACGCACATTCACACCAACGCTCAGCAGCCAGCTGGTTCCGAAAAACTGCTGTGCACAAAAACCGGGCCAGAGGCTCGCTCTGCTGGGCTAAATTGCCTTCATCTGTACTGTTTAATGGCTTCTGCTCATGGTTGTGCTTCTATGTTACTCCTCGCTGGTTGAAGAGGGTTCATTTTTTTCTATGGTTCAATAAGAAAAGTGACACATCAACACTGCTGAGAGGAAGGGCTGCACAAACCTTTACCAGGAACCAGTTTTATTAAACAGAGTTTAAGGTATAAAACGTTCTCCTGATGCAGAGTTAACCCATTTTGATCCTGATGAGTCGTGAGTGTTTAACTATGTGAACAACCAACAAGGCAGGATCCTGATGACCCGTGACCGTGTCTGCGTTCAAAAACTAGCTTGTTTGCAGATTCACCATCACAGCTTTAACCTCTACTGCTGCTTGAAGGACCTCTAACACACAAATGCACCATATAATGAGGTGAAACAACACAGCGTGGGGCTGTGGCAACGCAACATGTCTACTGTCAAGTGATAATGAATTAAAGAAAGTCAGCAGGGAGCCTGATGCACATTTAGAGTCAGAATGAAAAACATCCACAAAAAGATTTCCTCCATTATGGTATTGTGAGGTGATATAAAGAGTGTTTGTGTGTGTGTGTGTGTGTGCGCGCGTGCGTGCGTGTGTGTACGTGTGTGTGTGTGTGTGTGTGCGTGTGTGTATACATGTGTGCGTGCGTGCGTGTGTGTGTGTGTGTGTGTGCGTGCGAGTGTGTGCGTGCGTGCGTGCACGTGTGTGCGTGCGTGTGTGTGTGTGTGCGTGCGAGTGTGTGCGTGCGTGCGTGCGCGTGTGTGTGCGCGTGTGTGTGTGTGTGTGTGTGTGTGTGTATGTACCGTTGCGCTGATCTAGATGAGTCTTCATGTTGCACAGCTCCCCTTTAATGTCTCCGGGAACTTCCATCCCCAGCTTCTGATAAAATTCTCTCTGCTTCTTTATCTCCGCTGCACAAGATGCAAAAATAAAAAAATAAACAAGATGCTTTTCTCAATATTGCTGCACACACACGACATTACAGTTTTCTGATAAGCACGTGACTATGTTTGTAAATTTAAAATGCATCAAAATGAATGCATGAGGAAGAGTAAAACTTTTCCAGAGAATGTTTTTTCCCCCCAGGAAGACTAAACACAACAAAAGCTACATTTTTTTTTCTGATCAAACATGGTGACTCTCACCCTCTTGAAGTCCCGGTACCAGCTTGTAGACGATGTCCTGCATTGTTCGGTCATGGCTGAAATGAAAAAAGAAAAGACATGTTAGACCTTATACCTTATGATTGTAGGACTACTAGGCAATGTGGCCTAAGATTAGTTTTGTAATATATCAGAGCAAATCAGACAAGCCAGAAAAACATGTTTGTTCTAATTTATTCCAATAAGTTAAATTGTTGGGTGACAGATCCCAGGATGTTTCTTAGCATTAACCAGTTGATTTTCATGTACTTTGTTAACTTTTTTAAATTGATGTTTTCAGGGGGCAGTCTGCCAGACCTCGCTGGATGAAAGGCGGAGTTAGTCGTGATGCATCCCCCCCATGACTACAGGGACACACACTAACAGACAACCAGCCACACACACACACTCAAACCTAGGAATGATCGACTCTCCAGTTACACTTAAATGAATATTTTTGGTCTGTAAGAATAAACCATCGTACCTGGAGAAAATACCAGATCCACTCAGAGATGCTGCAACTTGGATAAGAACCTGTAACCTCATGCTGTGAGGCAACAGGGCTACCAAATGCACCACCATGCAGTTACGTCAGATTTAAATAGGTTTAATCAGCTCCATTCGTGAATAATCTGGGATTATTAACAGAACATGGGAGAGTAAAAGTATTTTTACATGAAGACTGGTTGATTTTCCTAAATTATTTGAAAATAACATGTATTCCATCCACCTATTATTGCAATATGTCAACCTCAAACCAGACTTTCTTCTCCAGTTTAAAATATTTATTTGTTAAAAATCTGAAAAAGCCAAGATGACTTCAATGAAAACCGGTACCGTTAGGACCACAAACATATGTACATGTAAGACCGACACGCTCCAAGGCTGGTGTGCAGTTTCTGCTCCTCTCAGCCTGAGTTTTTACTTGTGCCGGTGTCTCGGCTGCATTGTGGGGGTGGCGCAGATCTGATGGTGCTTTCTGACACCTGGCACTGAAGTTTAGCTAATGGGCAGACACGTTGAGTTTGTTACAGAATTATGAAGAAATAAATAACAGAAAGTGTTTGGCGATGCTGCAGTACACTCGGGAGATGTTGAGTTAAGGGTTAAAACATGGAAGGCATGTTTCTCAATACAGCAGCTAAACAGTGACCCCTGCTGGAAAGGGGTGGTAGAAAACCCTTTACACTGCTGTTAAGTGGGTTTATTCTCTGTACAACAATAACATTTATTTTGGCTTTATAGTTTCTAATACTTTTATTCTACCTTCAAGCACTTTCAGATTTTTAAAACCTGAGGTAAATGATGGGCCTACGAGCCCGTAAACAACAGGCATAAAAGATTTTATGTGATTCATGGTGAGGATATAATGTATGAAATCTTGAACTTTAAATGCATTTGTCCAGGTGAAGAAACAATCTCTCTTTTACAAGAGTCGCCTGGGTCAGCAGAACACATCTAACATGATAGAAACAATGTAGGTGTGGTAACTGTGGTTGCAGGCTGTGTTGAGGATTAAGTTGGTTAACCATTTCAAAGGAAACATGGATCTAACCCCCGTGATCTCCTCCTTCCTTTGCATGGAATGAATCCATCTCATGTATCAGCAGACTGACAGGTGAACACAGATGCAGAAACATCATCACCCTCCTCTGACTTTTCAGCAGCAATAAAACATAAATAGAAAGCAAAAGCTCTGGACAACAACCCTCTGAGCCGACGATGATGATGAATGTGAATTATTATTATTATTATTCATAATAATAATAATAATAATTTGGCTGCTTGTGTGTTAAAAATCCTTCTGTTTTATTGCTCATTTACAAACAACATTTACACACACACACACACACACACACACACACACACACACACACACACACACACACACACACACACACACAGCCACTTGTCATTCAAGCCACAGCTCATCAGGAAAATTACATTAGTGCTGGATTATCATGTAGATCTCCAACATAAAATGCTGTAGTGCAGCTCTGGCAGGAAGCCTTCATCCAGTCTTATATTCCTTATGTTTTCCTTTCGAGCAGAAACATTTTCCTGTTTTATTTTGTTTTTTATTTTATTTGTCCCCTTTGGGCCTCCCAAAGTTCCTTCAAATGTTTTTTTTTTTTTAACTTTGGATGCTTGTTTACTTATTTTATGCAGATTTGATCTAAGCATATTAATTTTGATGACACCAATCTCTCATCTATGGATCATTCAGGCATAAAAAGGCACCTAAAATTCTGGAGATCCATCAATAAAAACATCTTTAAAAGATTTCTAGAAAGTCTGCTTGGAAGAAAAATACAGACTTTTACACAGCACTGTACTTGTAAGGTACAATAATCACAGCACAGCCCTGAGTATTAAAGCGAGGTTGTGAATAAGCTCGGGTTAGATGGATCATCTATTAGAAAAACACACAGAGTGCCGAGCAGCTCAGGGCCACGTTGTTTCCTGCAGGAGAGCAGGAATAAAATGGATCAAGGCCATCAGCTCTGTAGTCCTCGGTAGTTTATTGAGTTAGCGACAGTGTGCTGCTGATTGCACATTCTGAGTGTGTGTGCATGTGTGTGTGTAGCTCTGTGGCGGTCCCTCACTCACCCGATGTACTGCAGTGGATGGCTCTGATGAATAACAATCCTACACGTGGGGCACGTGTTGTTCTCCTCCAGATACTTCACAAGGCAGCTTCTGCAGACTACACACACACACACACACACACACACACACACACACACACACACACACACACACACACACACACACACACACACACACACACACAATTTACTTTTAAATGATCTTTTCAAACCGTTTTGTCCTGAAGCTTTGATGTGTTTTCAGCATCCAATTTCTTTTGGTGGAGTACTTTCAGCCGTGACATGTTAGGTGACACAATCTCAACACCTCCAATAACTGCAAAACACCAATATCTTTCAGGGCGTTTCAAGTTCACTTGTTAATTTAAGCTTCTGAATATCCGTAGAGCTAAAACTGCAATCTGATTATCTGCTGAACGCTTCAACAGCAAACTGTCAAACTAGAAGGGAAAATGTGTGTTCATTTCCTAGCCGATGTTTACTCAGTTATCTGTCAAGACTGAGCATGTGACTAGGTAAATAAAGTCTCACTCACTCATTCTTTTCAATGCTAATTTTTAGTTTGAGGTAGATCTGAGTGTCTTTTTTGAACCAAGCGTTTTCCCGTCTATCTTCTATTGGCAGCTAGTGCAAGAAATAAGGGTGCAACATTTATTCTAATTTTTTTAAGTTCTTTACTGACTGAGGGGTTGGAATTTCCACTATTTAATGTTGAGACAAGATTCGTAAAACGTTCCATTTTGACTTGGAGTGTGTGTGAACCAAGAAAAAGCTGCAAACATTTCAGTCAGGAAGAGTGGATCAACATTTTTAGCTGATGACTTGTTGATTTCCTGTTTATTCTGCCAGATGCTTCAGTTATAAACACAACAGTGAAGGAAATGAAATGAAGTAATTAAGAACCGCAGATGGATCTGTGGCTGCAGAACAAATCCATCCTGAACCGCAGCCACATCTAACGGAGGGAAAATTCTTCAAATAACATTTAGAGTATTTATCTATCAACTACAGCTACCGTCAAATGTTGTATAAACCTGTGATGTAATTTGCCGCACCCGGAGTGCAGTGAAATCCATCTCTGTGACGTTTTTATTGCAGTGGAGCTGGCTCTGTGGGAGTAGCTGCAACGATGACGTGATGTGAATGTCTTTGTCTCGCCTCTCCGGTGGTGGAGCCCCTTCTCAGGCTGAGGGAGAATCAAAGCATCACGTCTGGACTCTAATGTTTCAAGTGGGCAGGACTGCCTCCATTTATGGTGCCATAGCCCCCTCCACTGGTCAGACATGGTACTGAAGCATCTAGGGTGGATTCTATTGATCCTTTCCAGGTTTCCTCTCTTTGCTTTAATAAAGGTTTTTAGGCTTAAACTCATTTAAAGCAGCAGAGGTTTGATGTTTATTTATTTTGAAGGGATTTTTATTTTTTTCATTTAAATTCTCAGAATCAATTCAGTTAAATTCAATTTTATTTATATAGTGCCAAATCACGACAAGAGTGAATTTGATCAATGAGAAACAGACACTCAATAGTCGTTTGATTTTCCCAGTCAAACAGAACACGTTGCTCTGGGTATGTTCAGTTATGGGCAGGACAATTATCTGCTTGGGGTCGGGCACCGTTGGCTCTGCTCATGTGAGCGTTAAAGAGCACTTGGGCTTGCAGATGCAGTGAACAGGATGGGGTGTTTAAACTCAGAGAACCCAAAAAGGAATACAAAATGCAACAACAGGCTGATGCAGCAGGTTGATCAGCAAAAATACTACAGAGCTCAACACATTATACTTCAGCCAGCAGCCTGGAATGGTTTCATGTAAACAAAGAGAGGCGAGGCATCACTAGTTCTACAGGAAATAACTGGCTAAATATTTGTTGAGACTAAGAGGAAGTTGGTCTCTGAAACCGACTTCACACAGGCTCAGAGGCATGCTGCATCTGACAACTTCACAGTTAATCAGTCCTGCTGGAGTTTCAGCCGCGCAAGAATAAAGTGTTGGTGTTTGACTCTGCTTCTTCTAAATCCCTGCGTCTGATTTGCTGTCACTTCTGTCAACTTAGGAGAAAAATCACTTCAGTTGAAAGCAGTGGCAGCAAGTCAGTAAGCAAATAAAATAAAATCAGCACATTCTTCCTGATGTACATTTGTCCTCATGCCATTGTTCTATTATTGTGGTTGTGTATTCGATCTTAATTTTTACTCTCAACTATCCTTGAAACCTAACCAGTTTCCCTGTTGAGGCTGAAGAAAGCATTAAACTACTCAAATGATACAAACTTTAACACAAACAAATAAAACTCGCTGAATAACAAAACTGCAGAATAACTCAGTTTTATGGTGAGAATAAACAGAGCACCACCTAGTGGGCAAATGTGTAAAACCCTGGCATTAATGAAAATGATTAGTGAGTTTCTTCCTCATTCCTCAGTGTGTGTGTTTATAAAGGTGTGTTTTTGCCTGGACGATTATTTACCCTGGACCAGCTACAGTTACTTTGGTTCTGATTTGTTACGTTTCCATTCACATATGGACTAGAAGAAGAAGACGAAGAAGAAGAGGAGGAAGAGGAAGAGGAAGAGGAAGAGGAAGAAGAAGAAGAAGAAGAAGAAGAAGACGAAGAAGAAGAAGAAGACGAAGAAGAAGACGAAGACGAAGAAGAAGACGAAGAAAAGATCTTTTCTATAGCGCCTCTCAAGATAAAAATCACGAGGTGCTTCACAAAAACAAAAAAATGTAAAAATATAAAAAATGATTTAGAAAATAATTAAAAATATGTTTAAAATGAGCAAAAAATAGACAATTGTGATTAAAAATGTAAAGAAAGAGAGAGAGAGTGAATAGGAAAGAGATAAATCAGTGGATCCTGAGGAAGATGGAATAGGTAGGGAGAGCAGAACAAGGAGAGGGTGATGAAGGTCACACAAAACCAGCCTGAACAGGTGAGTTTTCAGCTGCTTTTAAAGGAGACCACTGAGTCCACTGATCTCAGGCTCAGGGGGAGAGAGTTCCAGAGTCTGGGGGCCACAGCAGCAAATGATCTGTCACCTTTGGTCTTTAGCCTGGTGTGCTGCACAACCAGTAGGCTTTGATCACTGGACCTCAGGGACCTGCTGGGGGTGTAGGGACTGAAGATCACCAATGTAAGATGGTGCTTGTCCATGTAAGGCCCTATAGACCAGAACCAGGATCTTGAAATAAACCCTGAAGTTGACTGGCAGCCACTGAAGCTGCCTAGACGGTGGATAACACGGATTAAAGTGAAGTATCAAAATTTGTCATGCAGAATGCAGTAGCCTCAGTTCCTTCATTTGCACTTTTCTGATGAATTTTTGGGAATGCCGGGATATTCAACCAGACAGGTGTCCCACTACCCAGAACGCTTCAGATAATCTTATAAGCACTAACAGAGTAATTTTATGGCGTACATTTCTTTTATGATCATCAAATCTGGCCCCAGTAATGGTAGAAAGAGGTTCATGGAAACAACTTTTTAAATGGAAACACACTTGTCACTTTTGTGCATTATTACGACCATTTCAAGGTGATTAAAACATCTGTTTTAATATTTTAATTTTAACCACAGTTTTAAATGATTCTTGTATTAATTCCTGTTTAAACAGAAGTGACTCAAAACGACAGATAACTGAGTTTTAAATCCCTTCCGAGTCTCTGAAATCATTCATTTACATTATACCATTCATGGGAAAAGGACAGAAACATAAAGGAAACTTAGCCTGATCAATATGAAATCAATGACATGATCTTAACTTTATTCTGAAAGAGTTTTTTATTTACGGATTACGACTAAAATGCTGAGAGCTCAACTACACACATACAAAGAGATTTCCTGAGAAATCCAAGCATGGAGTCAAGATTTTCTCCCTGATGAATCTTAGTTTGTCTGATAACCAAAGACCTGGATCACACATTATTGAGAAGAACTGCAGGAGGAAACAGATGGTGTTATCCCACTTTACTGAACCCAACTAATGATGAGGCTATGTAGATGAGAGATCATCTCTCCTCCTTTATGAGATCCGTAGATCACACGCTCTGTGAGCCTGTGTTTGAGAGCAATTAGCTCGTGTTCAAGAGGCTGGCTCAGCTTAGCTTTAGAATAATGACATTTGGCTTCTGCTTGCCAACAAAAACATCAACAGCTTCATTCCTTCTGACTGTGAGGTTTGGATAAATCTAAAAGAGGAGCAGCAGAGCAAAAGGAAATCTCATGACATGAAGAAAAGGGGAAGAGAGACAACAAGAAAGTATAGAACACCTGAAACCAGGTGTGAGGAGTGTGAGAGGAAGGACGTACAGGTGTGTAAGCACTCTGTGACAGTGGTGGCATCAATCAGGTAGCCCTCACACAGGCGACATGTGATGTGGGCGTTGATGTGACACAGCTTTATCTTCCTCGTCAGCATGTCGGGGTTCTGAGGAGAAAGGGGAGAAAAGTTAGAGACGAAATATTAAAACAAGTTTTAGTTTGATCTACTGATCAGCTGTTTTAACCATGATTGGTAATGGCCTATATTTGCATAGCTCCTCCTTAGGGTTCAACAACCCCCCAAGGCCCTTCACAACACAATCAGTCATCCACACATTCACACGCTGGTGGGGATGAGCTATGATGTAGCCACAGCTGCCCTGACGGAAGAAAGACTGCAGAGACCTGCTGCTACCACTGCCTCCTACCACCACCATAATAAATACACAACTATTGATATTTCTGATCATTCTTTAACAAATATTGTGTTATATATTTATTTTATTATTTATAGAATTCTGATGTTCTCAATGTTAGTGACGATGAAGGATATTATGATCGCTATGATGTTACGGATCGCTCACGTAATTCACGCGCAGCCCGCTGCTCCTCTGTTCACATCAGGCGAGAGTCTTCGACGAGGACTTCTTATGCCTACTGTTTTTCAACCCCCCCATCCCACTCCCGTGTCCTTGCTCTGTGTGTGTGTGTGTGTGTGTGTGTGTGTGTGTGTGTGTGTGTGTGTGTGTGTGTGTGTGTGTGTAACCAGTTTGCCCTGCTTGTTGATATCGGAAACTGCACTGATCCTGCTGCTGTTTTGTAGACCAGTTCCTTTCCAAGTGTTTAAGTAAATAACTAGTGTTTGTGGTAGTGTACCTTTGAATTAAACTTACTTGTTGGTGTTCACATTTATTAAATCCATCTTTTGCAGTAAAAACTGAATTAAAATTTATGGAAACGCTATGTTTCTCCGCAGGTGTGTGTGTGTGTGTGCGTGCGTGCGTGCGTGTGTGTGTGTGTGCGTGCGTGCGTGCGTGCGTGTGTTAATTTTCACCTCTCTAGTCTGTTTAGAGACACAAAAATGACCACATTTATCAATCGCAGTGTTTAATGTTGAAAAATGTCTTTATTTTGTTAAATTTACCGGCCTGCCTCTTGGGTTGTGGTTTGACTTCCTGCCAGAATTGACGCGGTTCATGAAAAAAACTAGAGCACTCGCTAAGACGATCGCTGCATTGTGCCTGCCTTCGTCGTACTTCGCAGCTGATGTGATCCAGACATAATCAGCAGAAATGATTAGTTAGTTCTAATACAGCACAATAGTTTCTTTAAAACAATTTTGTGACCTTTCTGTAGTCTAGGAAGCAAGTATTCTCACCTAAATAATGCAAGCATGTCTATTCTACTGATTTTAATGTATTCTTATTCCATCGACCATTTTGGCATGGAATGAGAAGGATCAGTTTCCTAATTTTTCTGTTCCGATTGTAAAAAGGGTCAGACAACCTACGCGGACCATGCCAGTCACGGGACCTTTTGGCCCCCCTTCTGTTAGGTCCAGAAATATCTGGAGCAGTATGGTTAGGGTGGAGCAACAATACAGTTCACTGATTGGTTGACAGAAATACGTCACTACTTGCAACAAGCAAACAGAGTTCCGTTTTTTTATATTTTCATTAGTTGTACATGAATGTTAAAAAAAATGCCAGCAGGTAGCAGCAGGTTTTGGTCTTCTTCAGAGCTTCATACATTCCTCATCGCCCCACACTCAGGAGGAGCTAGAACGATTGGTAAGGAAGTTCTTTTCTCAGTGGCAGCTGAGAAGAATGTGAGCAGATGTCTGAACAGTGTCAGGCCAAGCTGATAACAACCCAATATAGAAAAGTTAAAGACAGAACCAGCCGGAGTGGATTTATTTATATTTTTTTGAAATGGGAGAAATACTCTGAAATACTCAGAGGTGCTACAACGCGCTGGTTGCTATTTACAGACTGGCAAACCAGCGACCACACTCTGAAGTCACATGTGGAGCCTGCATTTCGTTTTTGTCTTTAGCTCTGCAGACCATTTGTTGCAGCACAAAAATACTGAATAGTTATACAACTCTTTTATGAAATTGCGCATGACATTTTGTTAAACCGCCTGCCAACATGAAAGCCCAAACTGCAACAGAAATGCTCTCCTGACATTACAGACCCATACAGGAACATGCCGGTCCACAATAACCCGCTCCGTGATGAACCTTGCAGGTGGATAAGCGGCTTTACTCTGTTGTTATGCTGCTATAGGCTTAGACCCCTTCTCTCTATTTGCATTATTTCCTGCCAATTCAGCTGTTACCTATATTTTTTGTCTAAGAGTTTTTCTCCCCAGGAAGAAGCTACAATGGTGTTCTGCTGAGCTGTGCTGTCCTCATGGAGGGGTCCATCGGCTCGCACACCACTGCTAACCACTTAACATTCTCCCTCTCCAGTTAACATTTTACTTTCTTCGACATAGAATGTGCTACTACTAGTTTACCTGTTGAATTAACTTTTGATTCACTTGGATAAATAAAAAGTTTATCTCTCAATAACTAGAAAATCTACTAAGAAATCACAATGTAGCCATAGGAACACTACTTGGTGTGTGCGTGCGTGCACGCGCGCATGTGTCTGCTCTGCCTTCTCGATCCCCAGTGAGTCGTGGCGGATGGCTGCTTATACTGAGCCAGTATCCTCTGGAGGTTTCTTCCTGATAAAAGGGTGTTTTCCTCTCCACTGTTGCTACATGCTTGCTTATGGGGATTGCTGTAGTCTGCTGGGTTTCTTATATTGGCTTAATGAACTGAACTGTACAGGAATGTTAATTTGTGAAGTGCCCTGAGACGACTCTTGTTGTGACTATATAAATAAACTGAATTGAACTGAAACTAAATATTCTCGTCCCTTTGTGTGTGTGGTTTTTTTTTTTAGATTTATTTTTTGGTCTAAAGTCACTGATCTAAATTTACAAATAACCAAAAGAAAGCATCAAATGTGTCCATTTTGCCCATTTCTTTGACATATGCTGCACACCCTTTGAAGGTACCAACAGGGTTTACAGATCCATTAGCAAACAGTTTTACAGACATAAAAAATGAGAAAGGAGTCTGAGGCACTCAGGAGGATGAAGATAGTTTAAAAGCCTTTTTTGTTCCATGGCTAATCGAATAAAACATGGCGACTAGTTTCAGCCACACTCGCCTTCGTCAGGACAAGAAATGTTTGGTGATGTTTCTTAGATTAGTAAAAAAAAATTCTTCCATTAAAGTTGAAATTGTTTGAATAAACAAAAATTCATTAAACTGTTAACTCTTCAATAGCACTCGAGTCTCTGGAGTATGTGTTTGGGATGGGACTTAATTTGACTTTGCCCAACAAGAGTTGAAACATCCTGGATCAGTGATCACCTCCCTTCTTAGTGCTCACTGCGGTGGGTTTATTTTTAGCGTGAGGCGCAGACTGAACGATGATGACAGGTAATAGACCAGAGGAGTGATCCAGATCTAATATAGAAAAGAATTGGGTTTGTTTTCTTCACACTGGGTTTGTTTCATAAACTGTAAATAAAGATGGATGACAGAACTGATGGGCTGGTGCTATACTGGATCAGCCGGAGGGCCACTCTGCAGTAAGTGGTTAAAACTTTGTAAAGCTGTCTGAATCAACTCGCATCAGCGCACAGCAACAATCTGTGGAAAACACCACAAGCTCCTTTTCATCATTTTTAGTTTCTTTTTTTAATAAAAAAAGAAACTGTGTTTTATTTCATTATGTTGAATATTACAGCAGAAGTTTATAACAGCTTGCAGAACATCTGTGTTTTATGAGGCAATAAGAAAACAAATTATTTTATTGCCTTGCTGATGTCTCATCCAGCTACATGATCACTTCTGCTCTCTTCAATCAGGCAGGTGACTCATTTAATTCGGCTATAACGCATTACTAACTTTCATCCAGAAGAGTTGTTGCTTCAACACGCAGCAGAACCAACAGGCTGCGACAAGGACCTCGGCTGGTGATTCATGCTCTGAAGGGTGTGTGTGAGGACGGAGATAAAAGCAGATGCTACGTTTCAATTGTGTAACTGAATGACCAATTGTGGTTTCACTCCACAATCAGAATTCCTTAAGAAATCACCTGGAGTTTCATTTATCACCTGTAATTATGCACAGATCTGTGTGTATTTCGTGTGTAGGAACAAATTTACACAACGGGCAAATTGTGTGAATTTTTCTTTTAATCAGACGAACGTATCAGTGTCCTTTAATATTTCAGATCTACAGAGATTTAAATTTTCTTTTTCTATATGAATTTAAGATTTAAATATGTTCTTTTCCAGGTGTGAACCTGGAAGAGGGGGAAACTGCCCACCTTGTGTGGTCTGACCTTGCATTTCTAAAATGAAGGAATGTTGTCTCTCCAGCAGGCTGCCAGATGTATATTTACACTTTTTAAATGCTTTAAACAGTGTAAAGAAGTTCAGCATAAAATTGTTGCATTTTTTTTATAAAATCATCTAAATTTTCTGGCCTGTGAGGACTTTTATCATGCTGGTTTTGGCTCACATCGACAGAAGAAGACAGAAGGGCTTTATTGCCATATGTGTGAGAAATCTCAACATTGGGAAATAGATTGATACAAAAAAAATTAAATCAAGTCATGAGCAAAAATAAGAAATGAGCACAATAACATAATAATATAGAGAGGCAATGATTAGAGAAATGGCTAATATATACAAGACAATCTAGGTACTTAGAGCAGAAAATCCAGGTGCAAACACAACACAGGATCAGATGACTGGAACCAAGCGACTGGAGTGGGAAGTCCTAGGATCGTCACTCATGACTAACTGCAGAGGGAAAGAAACTGTTCTTGTGGCTAGAGGTTCTGGTCCAAATGGATCAGAGCCTTCTGCCGGATGGGAGGCAGGCACATGAGATGCCTCTAGTGAGGAGTTGAAAACGCCTGTAAACACTGGGGCCAGCTCATCAGCACAGTGCTTTAGAGTGGCTGTACACACCATCACGTGTGTGTACGCTACAGCTAAAGCATATTTTGGTTCTGTAACCCTTGACCAAAGCACACGGAAGTTGTTTTAGAACGACTTCACAGGATTGTGTTTCCTTTGAAGAAATAAAAAACATGTTCTTAAAATTTCAAAGACCCGCATTCACGTTCAGAGCCTTTATACATTTAAGCTAAGGAGTTCAGCTATGAACAGGTAATGAGCACTTAGCAGTTTGCTAGGGTTGGGGTTGATTTTTGTCTCTCAGGCCACCGCCTCGCTTTAAGACAACACTTTTGACTCCTCCTATAACAGGCAACTCGATCGTACCCAGAAGGTTACTACAGTTCCTCACATAAAAAGACACCTGGAGGAGAAGGGGGGTGGGGGTAGGTGCACACTAACACAGGTGTGTCCCGACTGGGAAAGACAATATGCTGCATTAAGCAAATAAAAAATGTGTTCACAAACATTATCCAAGATCATCTGACACAAATCTTAAAATACAGCAACAGAAATAAATAAAACACTAGATTTTAAATGGTGGCACAAATGCATATAGTTGACTAATAGATAACTTATCAAGGAAAATATAATGATAATGCCTAATTTATAAAACCAAGGGCCTATTTACTTTATTTTGCTTCAGTTTAAGAATGAATTTCCTTTGCTTTGGGTCAACTGACTGAATGAGATTAGTTCATTTAGAAACAGAAAAGGAGACAAATAACCTATTTTCTGACAGACCTGACCTGTTTACTGAGCACAAGCAGGCAGCTGCAGCTAAATGATCAGATATGAAACAGTCAGCAGAGATCAGTCAGATAATGGCTGGTTGTGTTCAGTGAATCGGATGCTGAGACGTCAAACATCTATTATTTACGGGCTCAAACCTAAAATGCTCTCAGATCTGTGCAGGTGTCTCGATAACGAGACAGAAGACGAGTTCAAAAAGTCATGTTTCCAGCTGCTGAGAAAATTGGACTTTTAGGAGTTATCAGCATTAGGAGAGTTCAGTAAACACGATGACAGTTCAGTAGATATTCTCTCATACATTCTAACATTCAACACAAATAGTCCTCACCCCTAAAACCGCCATGCGTGGACTGTGGATGAAGCAGCAGCCACGACTCTTCCTGTGCTTGTGTGGCCGACAGCGTTAGCTGCTCATCATGGGGAGCCTCTCATCAAAGCCTGGAAACAATGAGAAGAAAACACAGAATGTTTTGATTGTTCATCGTCAAATCTTTAAGGAGTTTACTAAAAAGATGTGGCTTTAAGAGTCTTTGGCCGGAGGCATTCTGATATTTTTGTTTCTGATTTCAAGGGTAGAGTGACTTTAAATGACACACGAAGAAGGTTTTAGCAAAATTACAACTTTCAATGTCGTTGTGATCCCAAGAGAAGTTCTGTCCAATTCCTAATACCAGCTGTTTACTTTAGCACCTTTAGTAATCATGGGTGCAGGGTAACATTGTTCGCGGTCTGGTTACATCAGGTAAATGTTGTATTATAAGCCACTAAAATCAGAAAACTACAGTACAAATAGATGTGACTGAACCAACAAAACAGTTCTCAAAGTCGGATCTTCATCCTGCACAGAGAAGCAGATATTTTACACTGTAATAACTCGTCATGTCATCACTTCATGTGATTCATTGCTTGATTGTAGGAGTCCAACTCTAAAGCCACGATAAAAAAGGGAATTTAAGGCGAACGATGATTCACACACATTTCTTTATTATGCCATGATGTGCAAGGAGGTGTCGTTCAGTTTCTGTCGGCTCATCAGACCATGAAATTATCACAGTTAGTCGACAGAAATGAAATGTGAAGAGGGCTGCCGAGGACACGCACACTGTTAACAAGTCGTCACACGCTGATGATGTTTCACACAAATGTTACAGTAGCAACACCAGCAACATCTTCTAGCACGTGTGTTTGTGGGATTAACTGAAGCCACAGGCAGTTCCATAAACCTTCATAAATAATTTCCTTTTACTCAGTTTGGTGTATGCCACATAAAACAGACTCACACACTCACATGGTCATCCGAGGACACCCTAGCACCTGATGTAATCAGCTGTTACTTAAGCCTGCAACTTTAATCAAAATCTGTCCAGTTGTTCAAAAAATTTGTGACAATTTTTGGTACTATGATTTGGATCAGTGGATCACTAAAGCCTAGGTCACACTTCTCTGTAAGCTAAGTGATGGAGAGACACAGTGTCATGATGTAAGGGCTCTGTGGCAGGTCTGCAAAGGGTGACGAAGATTGCCCAATTTTTTAACTGTCCATCGAAAGTAGCGGAGCCTGCAAGCCTGTGATTGGTCAGGACATCACTTCCTTTCAATTCCTCAACAACAGTACTGCCGCCACTCCCCAAAAAAAACAATAAACAAGTGCCAAAGGTCGAAGAAATCCAGCAGCAGACACGTAGCAGTTTGGAAAATGTCTCATGGAAGAAGTCTGACAATATAAACGTTCATACACTCGTGGCTGATTGAGAACATTAGTCCGGAGCTGGCCCTCTTTTCAATCCCGATGCCGGAATTTTCTCACATTGACTGAGGCAGTTTCACATTTACCATTTAAATAATAGCAGGAAGACTACTGCCCCCATGCCAGCTCCACAACAGAGCAATGGTTGGGTCATAAACACAGTCTGTCACTCTCACATTGACTGGACAGAACAATTAGCATTTATTCTTCCTCCATCCACCACCAGACACAAGTGCTTAATTTGCCAAGAGACCATTTCAGTGATACAGTTTTCCTATTTAAAACTGCAATATGAGACCAAGCACAACATTTTTGAAGACAAATTTCTTCAAAAACCTGACAGAAAAATGACAAAAATAAATGCAATGGTGCCCTCTTATTAAGCTGCTGCAGGATTTGAGTTGCATCTATGACACAACATCAAAAATCAACACAATGCTGTCTGGTTAGATTTTTGCCCATCTAGGAATAGCAGATAATAATAATAATAATAATAATAATAATAACTAAGAAGAAGAATAAAAAATGTATAATGAATCTGTACTAAAACGATAGTTCCCTGCTCATCAGCTTGGAATCCTAAAAAAATGACTTAATCCAATGAAGACTCGTTTACTTTAGCTCTGGTGATGAAATAAAGGAAAAAAACAGCCACTAAGCAGTGGATTTGCTCCCAATTTGATGACCTTTTTATGACTTTGTGGTGATTCACTATGAGTTCCTCATCCCACTTAAACCTGTTCAGCAGCAACTGTTTGCCACATAAAATAAACGTGCCAACTGAAACTAGTCACTGTGGTTGTGACAACCAGGTCTGATCAGAGGAGCTATGACTTCATTATGACTTCATTCGATTAATTGCATATGTTACTAAATTGCGATATGACAAAAGGAGATTTTCTAATCGCAACGGCTGCGATTCGACTGGCAGCAAGTGGTTAGCACAATGCCATAGGGATGCTAATGCTAATATCGCCAATTAAATTCTTACGAACTGCCAAATGATTACATTTGGAGTCTAATAAAAAGTAAAAATGAGTAGACTGATATTTCAGTAAAGCTAGAAAACCGTAAGAGACTTTAATGCCACTGAGTTTTGGCCAGCAGCTATGGATCTAACTGAACTACGGAAGCTCTGCATGGACAAGACGTCAAAAACTCTAAACACAAAAAGACTTCAATAAATGGTACACACTTTCCTACAAATCAACTTTCACAGTTGATGCTAATACCTATGCTCCTTCAAGGGATGTGCTCCTGGCTCCAAAGCATTGCACCTTCAAATACAAAATGTTGTCTTTACTTGTGAGTGTTCATGTAGACAAATACACTTGTTGACATATGTAGATAAATATGTAGATACATAAATGTGTTTATATTCAGTACAAGTTACAGATTTTTTTTTTTGCTTCGGTTAGTTGAAAAACATGAGAAAAGCCCCCAGAGAAAATAGTCATGAATTAAATCGCAGTTGCAATATTGAAGAAAATTAATCGCAATTAGATTATTTTCCAGAATCTTTCAGCCCTAGCTTTAATCAACTTTAAGTGTGTTTGTCTACACTTCCTTTGGTAAAACAGAAAAGTAAATTGTTGCCAGTCTCAAGTCAATTAGTTTCATCCAACTACAGTTTCATCTAGTATAGCACATACAAGAAAACATCTTCTTGCTCAATTTACTAACTTTTTCTAAATAAATATAACCAGAAAACAATAATTTTCTTCTAAACTGCTTAATCCTAAGTAGGGCCGTATGGAGATGGTCCCATGCGAGAGAACAACCCAGACAGAACGTACAACCACTCACACCTTAGGACTATTTTTCAGTTACCAATGAACCAAATGTGCATGGTTTTGGTCAGTGGGAGGAAACTAGATTACCTGGAGAAAAACAACACTTGCATGGTAACATGCGAACTCCATTCAGAAAGGCCACAGCTGGGATTGAAACCTGCAACCGTCTTGCTGTGAGGCAAACATCCATCATGAAGCCCTATCTAGAAGATATAAAACACTATTATCTTGTCATGCTGATGTTTTGCATCAGTTTGCTTCTTTCCTTCTCAAAAATAATCTGTTTATTTGTAAAACTGTGTTGATTTACATGTTTTCAGTTTAAACAGAAAGGTTTACTAATTTGATCTGATGAAATCCTGATAAATATTGCATCATCACCATCTTCATTATCCGACAGAACTGCCATCAACGTGTTAAAAAAAACTCCCCACACAAGAATACCCAAATGACAGAATTCATGATCATCCTGATGGAAGATACTTTGGGTTCTAGTCATCGTAACCATGATGCATTGCTGTAATAACCATTTTGGGTATTACTTTGTGTATTGGGAGTTTAAAACCGTTTCCAGGACGAGCAGAAACAGCAGTGTCGGTTTTAAAAGTGTGACTTTATGTGTGGGTGAGATATTTCTCCACATCTGTTTTGAGACTTGAGGAAACAAAACCAAGCATTTCATTTGAAAACTAGGCAAAGCCTCCCACATCACCTGAATTTATACTTTTTCAAACAATTACCTGTAACCAATAACGCCTCAGTTAAAAGGCAAATAAACTGTGGCCTCATTTATCAGGCTTGCTTACGCACAAAACGGGGTCGGAAAACTGTGTAAGCAACTTTCCATGCAAACTTTGGGATTTATGAAAGAAAACTTAGCAGAAAAATGTGCACAACTTTAAGTTGACTAAGGACCTGGCTTACGCACATTTTGGACATGGAGAGCACCTGCAGTGCTGCTGCTGAGAAGGATACAATTAGAAATCCTGCAGCATTATCACTTGTACTGCTTTGTTTTCACACAGAACAAGACCCCCCACACGCACATGCAACTAGGGCTGTCGCGGTTGAGGAATTCCCCCTGCGGTGATTCAGGGTGGCTTAATATTGCGGTGTGCGATATTATTGCAGTCCTTTTTTTTATTGCAGTACTATCTAAACATAATGTTTACACATTTAAAAAAGGTTAAAAATTGCCATGCCTTCTTTTATAACACTTTACTGAATGCAGATCAAAGGGCAGTAACAACATAGATCGCAGTAACGTTTGTTTGTCCGACAGTCGGAATCCGACTGAACTTAAAAACAACAAAATTCAGGAGAAGGTTAAACTTTTAAATGCAAATTTGGCTGCAGCATCTAACAAATAAGAAACAAGTCCCCATTTTGTTTAGTTGTTTAAAATCAAGCATAAAAAATTACATGTACCGGGCGCGCGCGCGCCGGGGGGCGGGCGCACTATCATTTCACTTTCACACACACGAATGACGGTGATTTATAGCTCGGTCACGTCCTTGTTACCTACAAGGAAAACCAGCATGTTAACCATATACGCTTTGAGAGAGGATCTGAGAGGGGTGGCAACATTTGCAGCAACACTGAAAACCCTCTCGGATGGTGCGCTCGTTGCACTAACGCACACGTACTTGCGTGCGACTCTGGCGAGCAACGGGAATCTCTCTTGGTTGTTGCTCCACCATGTCAGGGGGGTTCTTTAGGGTGGATGCATTCCTCCTGCAGGTAGCGAGTGAGCTCCAGCTCGGCTCAAACTCTCTTCAGGACGGTTGCAGAAGCAGTGCTTGTCCGGGACTTCAGCAGGTCTCCGAGCGTTTATTATTTATTTATTTTTTGCCGCTGGTGGCAGCTCCGTCTCGGCCAAGGACTCTGGCTGCGCAGCA